GTTGCAGCATTTAAATCATCCTCCATACAAGGGCCAATCCTTCTAACTGTCTGTCTGAACTTGTTTAGCAACATTCTTGCATATATCAACATTTGCAAGGGGGCCATGGAAGTGCCATCCAAATTCATGTCATGAGACTTGTTCAAATCACTGGAGAAACTATTAATGGCACATCCGTTGTTATCATTCTTCTTCAGTCTGTCAATGTCAAGGCTGCTCCTAAGACCATCAACTAAAGATCCGTCTCTACAATTTTCAAGCCCTGACTGATCATATTTTTCTGTCCTCTTCAAAGAATCTTCAAACCCAGTCCCTGATTTTAATCTTTGCACTGGAGAACCATTAAAAGACATTTCTCTGCAATGGAAAAGGAACAGTGACATGCCCGAGGTGGAATGAAGCATTTTCAAGTCAACAAGAAAAAAAAAACAAAAGTGGACATGCCCGACCTTAATTGAAGAAGATTTGGACCCAAAATCCATTGCTATCTGATATAACCTAGTTCAGTCATAAACACCCTACAAAAAAAAAACAAAAGTGGACATGCCCAACCTTAATTGAAGAAGATTTGGACCCAAAATCCATTGCTATCTGATATAACCTAGTTCAATCATAAAGACCCAATTGTGTGCTTTCTCTAAAAAGATCATTTCAGTTATGTTTTCTCATAATTCCAAATCCCATAGTCACTTGTTTCTTTACTACAAAGAGGCTTAGAGACTTAAAGCTAGGCTCTTTGACATCATTGGTTCTCTTTAGCTGTCTTTCCCTTCTTTAGAAATCTTCATTTTCTCCTCTATACATGGAGAGAAACTTCGTTAAATTGGGGGTGCTGTGGCTAGTAAGGAGTGCAAGAGCACTTAAAAGCCTCTTTCCAATCCCCCCAAATGCTCTGGGATAGACTGGTTTTTCTGTTATCACTTGGGATTAAGGTTCACGGTATCTTTTGGGGTGTCTCTTTGGCAATATACAAAGAGATTGCACAACTATGTTCTATCAAATATTCATATCCTTGATCAAAAGGCAAAAGCAAAATATATTAAAGAGTACAACTTGAAAGATGTTCCATATTGGCCCAGATCCTGTATAACAGCTGCATACTATTTACAGGTAGTATTCTCTCCTAGGATAAAACTTGGGGTGCATCCAAAAATAGAGAAATGTAGATCCTAGTAATATCACTATTAATATTCATGAAACTACATATA